TTTTCTTTGGGTGTGAGAACATTGTTATATTTGGGCTTGTACTTATTTTTGGTTGAATCTTTGATTGAAAATAAACTGCCACGAGATTAAAATAATCTTATGTATTGAACGCTTTAAAATTTTAATATGCAATTTACAATTATTGCTAATATCGTGCTTTACATTGCAGTATTCCTCATTGAAGTTTGGCATTTTTAAAAATTTGTCACCTCAAATGATCAAATTTTCTATTCAAGTATTTTTGCAAAAATTACAATATTTTTTCCGTCAGAAAGTAAATTTTGATAATAGTCAAAAAACTTTTGCTGAATTCTGCAAATTATTAAACGGAAGATTTACTATACATGACATGTACAGTAGCGGTCATAAATAACTGCACCCCCCCCCCCCCAATTCTTCCAAAAAATAAAGCAAATCGCAATTATATTTTTTTAGTAAAAATAACATACTGATTTTTAGTACATAATATAGTCGCCGTTGGACGCTATTAGTGCCATTATACGGCGTTTTATACTATCTACTAATTTCGCGACAAATTCCCGATGGAAGACGGTTCCACTCTTTTGTTAGTTCTCCCTTTAATCCATTAATTGTATGAATTTGTTTAATTTCATGACATGCCACACGTTTTCTATAGGATTTTAATCTGGGGACATCGATGGCCAGGGTAGTTCCTTGATACCTTTTTCCGCCTTCCAATTTTCGCAATTCTTCAATGATGCTTGGGATCGTTATCTTCTTGTAAGAACCAGTCTAAGTTACCCTCGCCAAAAAACTCGGAGATGGAAGGAGACCCTTCTTGTAGATTTCACACATAAAATTGGTGTCAAGGTTCCGTTAAAAGCACACCAACTCACCAAACTCCGAAACTGAAAAACATCCCCATACGTGGACCTTTGGTGGATGCTTAACAGTATGAAATACTTTTTTTCTCTCAACGAACTGCCAAACTTTTTTTTCGATGGGAATAGTTGAAAAGTACTTTCATCCGTAAAAATAACCTGGTTCTAATCAAAATTTTGATATCTCTTCGCCTATTGCAGCCGTTTTTTCCGGTGGTTTTCCGTAAGAAGAGGTTTTGTAATTTCATTAGTATATTTTCCTTCAGCTTCACGAAGACGTCGTCTAATAGTCCTCACGCTAATGTTAACATCCCGTTTTTCCATATTCCGTTGTATTTGGATACTTGTTATGCTATTTTCCATCTTTGCCATTTTCGTTGTTTGTTTGTCTTGTTCTGCGCTGCGGACCCGATTTTTTTTGATCACTTAGATCCTTTGAAATCCCCATCTTTGAATCCAATTTTTTGCAGTATTCTTAGTACAACCAATATGGGTTGCTATTTTTTCATAGTCCCATTGTGGTCCTTGTGGATGTTCGTGAAGAAAAATGATTTCATATCAGATAAACTCCTGTTTGTTGTACCAACCTATAATTATACAGATTATCAGAGTTAAATATCACTCGTGAATTTCGGAAATTTTTGAGGGGTGTTGTCACTTGATTTCTGAAAATTTTGAGGTGCAGATACTTATGACCGTCGTCGAAAACCTTGAATGTTTTCGATTTATATCGTAGCTCGTTTTTTCCGCGTTGCCTGAAAACAAAAATTTAATAAATTAGGATAAAAAAGAATCAGTTTACGATTTGTAAATTACATAATAAATACTTGTGAATGCATCTATTTTTTCGTAAATGTTGTCTAGGTTCTCTACTTCAACATTATCTTTTCTCATCTTCATCCTCATTGTTAGTGCCGAAGTCATCCTAAAGACATAAAACAACATTAAAAATATCAACAATCGCTTTAAAATCCATATTGATACTACTTCATCATTGTCTTGCGGAAGGTTCTCAGCTTCATCCTCATTGTCAGCGCCGAAGTCATCCTATAGACGTATAACAACATTAAAAATGTTAACAATCGATTGTTGATACGAATAATATTAAACAAACTGATTTAATTCCCTATTAATTTCATTTCCATCAATTTCTATTCTCTCGCTCGTTCGCTCTCTCTCTCTCTCGTGATCTCATCATCAGCATTGAGAAATAAATTTTTACCGCATTCAATATTTTCTTGGTACAGTCACTCATGCGCGGATTACAAAATTATTTGGAAAATGATTGTCAACATATGAAATAACTATAACGATAAATGTACACAAAAAATAGACGAATAGGAGAATAGATATCCAGTAAACTTTCTACAGATTCTCAATTCTTCTCTTTACGACAAGTCTCTAAATTGAAATGGCTGCTACCACCTTCCGTAACCAACGACAAATGATCTTATCTTATTGGAACCGGTGCATACGTTCTGCTAAAAAAATACATACAGCAACAAAAATACCAACGTTGACTATCTATTGCAACCTGAAAAAGCTCGGGAAAACTGGAAAAGTAACACACAGTCGAAAGGGGTGAATTGTCCAAAGATAATTTTGCGAGAAATGTCACAAAAAATCAGGCGGCAAATCCAAAAAAATCCTTCTATATCAACAAGAAGTTTGGTGGCAGAATTAGGTGGAACAGTATCTCAACAAACTGTTTTAAGACATTTGTGGGATCATGAATATAAAAATGGTGTCCCAAAAGCTTTACCAATATTTACCTTGCAACATAAAGAGAAACGGGTGGAGTGGGCCAAAAAACATATGAATGATTATTGGAACAAAACTTTTTTTACAGATGAAACTACATGCCAACTCTTTCGTAACACAATTGGTCAGTGGCATAAAGGTCCAAGACCAGTTCGTCGAATTCCTAAAAATAGGAGAAAAATCTTTGCGTGGAGTGGTTGATTTATTTTGTTTTAGAAGAATAATAAATGCCGAATTTTATGTAGATATTTTAAAAAATAATATTAATGCTCTTTTGGGAAGAAAATGGAGGTTTCAACAGGATAACGATCCAAAATATATGAGCCATCTTGCAAAGTCTTATCTTGAATTGAATGTCCCCGAAGTTATTGATTGGCCATCTTGTAGCCTGGACTTAAATCCAATGGAAAACCTATGAAATATAGTTAAAAGAACATAGAAAAAGAAAACCAAAAAATTTGGACCAATTTATGAAAGAGGAATGGAATTTAATTCCAAATAATACATTAGAGAGTTTAGTAAAATCAATGAAACGAATATGTATGCTAGCAATAGAGAGCAAAGGCGATACTATTAATTATTTTTTTTTAATAAAGTACATATTTTTATCTTTTAAATAAATGTATTTTTATTATAATTGGTTTGGTGTAATAATAAAATTATTTTTCCAAATAATTTTGAATCATACCGATACTGTATATTCACAACTCAACCCTAGCAGATTTCGATCTGCGATATCTTTATGCTGGATATTCGGTAGGATTACTGGCTGCGCGACACGGTCCCCCTTTTTGGATATTCACCGCTTGGTCTGACTCGTTTCTCAGCAGGACCTTCAGGTTACCCACGTAGCCTGCGTCTATTACACCACCTTTGACGCAAAAAATCTTTTGTAGTTGATACCAGATCTGATATCAGAGGCGGCGAACAGTGTTATTTTCACCTCGATGTAAAATAATGGGTAAAATATTGGTATCCAAAAAAAGTTTATCATTTCAAAAATTATTTGGGATTTAGTTTGATCTTGAGATCGGCGGCGATCTAAAAATGATTGGTTAACCAAATTTCACATAACTTTATTGTTCTCCGATTGGGTTAAATTGTTAGTTTGTAATTTTTAGTATGAACCCGAATTTCCCAGGCATATTTAAGATACAAGTAAATTTTTGACAAGTGGATTCTGGCAATCTTTTTTGCATAGTGCTCATAGAAAAATAGATGGTACATAGTTCACAAAATATATCAATC